TAGTTAGTTATCAGGTTGTTGTTTTCGGTGAAGTGTAATTTTAAAACAAACTTGAGTAGCCTTCCTAACAAACGCACCATTGTCTTCCACATTTTATGATGCACTAAGTGAAATATCGACATTAGACCATGGATCTCCCACTGCTCTCCGAGATTTGTGTCTCCTTGGGAACATGAGCAAGGCCAGGAGCAGAGAAGGAATATTCTCGACATGTGGTGACTTCCTAGCTTTAAGGGCTCGATTTCTAGCTCCCAAACAGCCTGTGGCTCTGTATGGAGAAATCGTTACCGTAAGTTTCGAGAAGGAAGAATGCAGTCTTTAAGTCGTAGCTCTCTAGAGGCTATCAAATGGTTCTAAGGAAAACCATGAAGTCAATTCAGCTTCTGACTCTAAATTTCAAAGAAAAAGAGGAATGATAGAAAATTAAAGGGTTGCTGGAAAACTTGGGGATGTATATTTAAAAATCATTGCATATAAATCCTTAGTTTTTCCCTCATTTCTTAAGTCAGTCCTCATTCCTCAACTGTTTTCTAGATATAAATTATATCATTGCCTGTTTCTAAGAGTAGGAACCAGGCAGTTTTGTAAATATCAGGATGGACCTGAAACACAATTGCTGACACCAAACCCTGCAGTGCTTGCAGTATCTGAGGCCTCTGATTCCAGAGGCACGCAACAGAAACAGCCCCGACCTAAGGCACAAGGCACGCGACAGCCAAGTGGTTTGTCACAATCCTAAAGGCAGCCTGACACATTGTTCTCCTCATAAAAATGCATGCCACCTGCCATGAAATTCTGGATGCTATACATTGCATCATATGTATATTGTTACATGTTTAAATATAATTAATGACCACACCAGCCATGAACAGAGGGCGAATGAGCAAAGAATATAAATACATACTGGGTTTTGCCTAATTCCTTTTAAGCCTGTGGCAAAGGGGTACTCCCTACTTGCCAACCTCTCCTCCTTCTCTCTGACTAGCCACCACTTAATATCATTTAAGTCAATAATACGGGTTATGAAGTCCCCATTCATGACCCCAAATTGGCTGCATATTTTGAGATGCAAAGCAAAGGCAAAAGATGAGGTAGGTCGCTATTTTCACTCAGGCACAGAGTATACGATTCATTAGTAAAACTTATATGTTTTTTTTATTTTTTGCAAGATGAGGTATAATTTGCCCAAAGTCCACAAACCAACACCTTATTAGGATTATTTAACTCCTAATTTTCTCTAGTACTGGGGATGAAAAGTCAATACTGATCTTTCTAAAAGCAATTTGGCAATATAAATTGAGTCTAAAAATGTCTGTACTCTGTGGGAAAGATGGTTACAGGAAAGAATCAGGGATGTGGGCAAAGATTTAAACATAAAGATGCTTACCAAAGTGTATTTACAAAGAGAACATTTGGAAAAAAATCTGTGTCCCACAATTAGAATATAGTTAAAATATGGTCTCTCTATATGAAAGAATATTATGCAGCCATTAAAAAGCATGTCAGAAAAGTTATAATCCTACTAATACACTCAAAATGAGAAGCAGTCCTGAGTAAAAAAATCAAGATATTAAACTGTATGTATATGATGATCCTGATAATACAATTTTATGTATAGAATAAATACTGAAAGAAAAGACAGTGAATTGTGTTGGTAGTGATTGCTGGGTGGTGCTGATTCTATTTTCATCTTCATATTTTTCTGTGCTTTACACAATGCCTACGGTGTTCTCATATTAGTTTTATAATCATAAAAAATAATCAACCATACAAATTAAAGATATTATATCAGGTTCACAAAAAGCATGGCACAAAGTACGAGCTGTGGAATAAAAGCTGCTCTGTTTATAAGGCTTTTAAAAGAGTGATTCCACCATCAACCTTATTCAGGAACTCAAAAGCCCTCAGTAGTGAGAACGCCCTAATGGGTGCCAGGAGCTTTGACAAGTAAACGAATCAAGATCTTCTCCCGTGTTAAGGACACATCCTCCCTCGACAGAGGCTTACAGAATCCCTCTGCCAGTATGCCTCTGCCTGTCTCATAAAAACATCACCTAGCAAGTCACTTTCAGTCAAATCTGAGAGAGGGACAGAGGGCCCCAGGTAACACAATGCATCCAGCACACATCAGCAGATCTGACAGGTGCCTTCAACTCCACACGTCTAAATATAAATGGACTTGAGCGGTTTGCAAACGGTCTTTCCCCCTTTCTATTCTGATCAGGCAAAAGAATGTTCTCTTCTTTAGTTCCACCTCTTGATGCTGGTTATTTTTATTTAGAATCACTTTGCAATACTTTTTATTCAAGGAGAAGCAATGTTACAACTCTTAGGAGGAAAAAAAAAGATCTCTTTTCCAAAATCTTGGATGAAGATAGGACCTAGGTTTGGACTGTTTTTGAAATGTAAAGTTGAGAAGGAGATAAGACATTAACAATACTTTTTAAAACTTTCTGGATGAGCAAAAAGCTGACGTTAATACATGCATAAAGAAACACTGTCTAATATTTAAGCCAGAAAAAGGACTTAATTTCTAATCAGCAGAGTGGAAATTCTTTGGGGAGACATATAGCACTCTGCGCCTTCAATTCCTGCCATGCTCTCTCCCATTGCCCTTAAACCCTAACTCTCTCTTCAGGACCCTGCTCAATGCTCACTTCTTCAGGAGCCTTCTCTGACCTTCCTCATTCCCCCCGCCCCCCAACACCCCCACTGCCACACATGCACAGTCTTCCTCTTAGCTCCCCAAACACAGACATTGACCTTCCATACATTTATCCCACATCACTATTTATTAGCCTAAGAGCTTCTCCAGAGCAAGATGATATTTCACTCGTTTTTCCATTTCCAGCAGAAATGCGGTAGTTAAGAGCCACGAAAAAGAACAGTTTATGGAAAAATGATAATTAGCTATATGCTTAGCCACTGCCCATCTTTTAGGCTTATTTTGGGGAGGAAAGTTGGCTTATTAAATGAAATTAAGGCTAAAATTCAATGCCAGATATTATAAAAGGAACTTGGTATGCATTAACTACAGGGATGAAATTTTCCATTTTAACTTTGCCACTTTCTGCTTACTTTCCCTCACCTGCTGGAGAGTGAGGCAAGAGCATGTTCAAGGGCCAGTCCAGCTCCCAGATTCTGGGGCTCTGGGACTGCTATGAATTCTGCTGGAACAGTCCTCCAGAGCTTGCATCCCAGCTCTATTCTGATTGCAAAGGAGACTGTGCTCTCTTCAAACTTGTACATGCTGCCTTCCTGCCTACCAAGCCTGTGGTGTGCCACCACCGAGTTTAGCCCCACCCTCCTGGTCTGAAATAGTCATCTAAACCACAGGGGAAATGATTACCCATGGTTTCCTAGATCCATGTAAGGAAGATGCTTCCAAACCCTAATGCTATAAAGTTGTGTTTACTTGTCCCAACTCCTTCCCAGTTTGGTTCAGATCGCCCTTTCCCTGCTTGCATTTTGCAATGTTGGCTCTTTATCTTTGCCCACCCCTCTAGGATCCTCACCACACCTGAGAAATGTAGCCAATACTTGGCTTAATAAGTCTTCAACCTACTCATCAGCTCATTAAAGGGGCGTAGAGTTGGCAAAGGGAATACTGCATAGAAACTTTCTTTGCCAACCACCTACCAATAGCTGATTTCACAGGTGGTCCTTTATCAGACATGCCCAGTGAAAAAGAGGACTAATGATGGCCCTTCACACAGGGAGGCTGTGTCTGGGGAAGCTCTCTATAGAGTTGAAGGCCTGCACTGAATTACTGTAACCAACCAGTGTTTTAGTCTCACATTCCTAGTAAAATGAGAAGCTCTTAGATCCCTTAAAGCAGAAATTTCCAAATGCCATATTCAACACAATAAATTTTCATAATGCTAAATATATCCAATGTGAAGGACTGGCCTTTACTCTGAGATTATATCCTTCCTTCATTTTGATGTTATTGCTGTGAAGAGTACTTTTATTTTAATAAAAGGATGGTAGCAGAAGATGGTAGGGTTTGTTTATTTTAATGTCTGTACTTGGCACTTGAAAAAGCTGGCAACAGTATATCAATTTATAAAACTCATTGAAACTAAAAATCTGGGATTCTCATGTGGCTAGCTCAGGGCTGAACACAAAGGAGACTAAACATATGACTATATATACGTATACCTAAATTGATCTCTTACGAGAGGAGGGGCTTCCAGTTTCTTCTAAGCTCATCATTCTCTACAGGCCTCAAGGTGTATCATAGAGATCCTGGCGGCCCTGCAGGTGTAAGTAGTTACTAACAGATTCAAGTCAGGAAATTTCCTCTAAAATATACCTACTTGAGAAACCCTCATCTGGATATTGGACCTTTGCCCCAATAACAATTTTATGAAAAGGGTTTTACTGTATTCCTTTCACAGTAACACCTGGACCATGACAGGCACAAAGAAAGCGTAAAGTAGTTATTTCTTTTCGACCCTCCAATAGGAGCTGAGGATACCAATCTCGGGGACTCCACCTAAAACGGAGGGAAACACACTTGGTATTCTCTCGGGCTCCTCCGGGCTCGCATATGATGGGGGAACTAATAGTCGTCTGTGAACGCCGTGGCTAAAGTGTAAGACCAAGGTGGGGCGGGCGGGACGGTGTGAATGCCACCGCAACCACGTCTGCGCGTGTAGCAAGGCGTTGCCTGGCTAGGACTTTGCCCAGGAAGAGGGAACTTTGCAAGCTGCCTGCGTCCAGCCCTCTTGCTGCAACGGGATGCTCTTCGGGAGGAAAGTGGCTCTGCCCCCTGGCGCCCGTCCCTGGGCTCCTGATGAAACAGTGACCCGCCGACCGCTTCCCAGCCCCTGGACGCCAGCCCTATCACTCTGGGCGCGCAGCCGATCACGTGGCGGAGCGCTGCGCTGGGGGCCGCGACTCCACCGGTATTGGTCGACGGCTCGCGTCGCGGGCGCGCCCATTGGTTGCGGGGGGCGTTCACGTGAAAAGGGGCCTGGGATGGCATCCCGAGTCGGGAGAGGTGGCCGGCAAGTTAAAGGGAGAAGCGCGGCGGCGGGGAGCCCGAGTCTCGGGTGATGGGCCGCAGGGAGGAGGCGAGCGGGCTGCTTTGGGGCATGAACGGATGCGGCTGCCCGCGCAGGGCGCGGACCTGAGCCCCGGCCCCCGCCAGCCCCGTGCGGATGCTGCCGCGGGCTTGGCGCCTCTGCACCTCGGGGCTTATGAGTTGTACCAGGTACGTCCCTTCCCAAGCCCTGGAGTCCGCGTGTAGGGCCGGGAAACGGCGGCGAGGGGCGCGCAGTGGAGTCCCTCTGGTTAATATCACCTACACTTTCACCGTGCAACTTGCACTTACACTCCGGGGGTGGAACACTCTAGGCGGGCTCCAGTAAGCTGTCGCTTCCACGTGGAGAGGGCAATTCAGGGACAAGAGGTAGGATGGAGCCTGGCCAGACCCACGTGTTCCACCGAGGTGCGGGTCCCGGCCGCTAGGGGTGGCCGGGGGACTGGGGCTGGGACTCCCGATACCCTTGTTCCCTGTTGCCCCGTGTTCCAACCTGACACAAGGCGTTTCCAGCCTGGGACCCGACGCTGCTGGAAGGTGTCTCGGAGTTGGGCGGTGGGGTCTGGAGCACAAGGAAACGTCGCTGCGTCTCTCTCCGGGTCTCGGTTTCCCCGTAAAACGCAAGGAAACACACTTGTTAGTCTCTCTGGCCGCCGGGGGCGGAGAGACCATGGAGTGCTAGGGCGGCCGCGGCCTTCCGGAACGGGGTCACCCCCGTCACCGGCCCCTGGTCCCCAGACTGGGGCTGTCCCGGACCGTCTGGGGCAAGGCGGCCGCGCGGGGACGCTCGGGAGGCGCCGTCCCGGCCGGAGTGGCCCCGCCGCCCCGCCCTGCTGCGATAACTTGGGCTCCTCCCCCCCGTCGTATTCCTCCCCCTGCTGGTCACATCTCCGGGAACCGAGCCCAAGCCCTGCCTCCCGGACACACCGACGCTCACGTAGTCCGGTGGCGGCGGCCTCCCCTGCCACCTCCCTCCGGACTCTCCGATGCTGCGAGCAAGCTGGAGAGGGGGCTTCCCCGCGGCCCAAAAGGTGGGTACCGGGGAGCAGGCCGAGGAGGCTTGAGGAGTGCTTGGGGGCGGGGTGCAGCCCGACCCCATTGGGCCCAGGGGGGCAGGGTCCGAGTGACCTGTGGGATCTTCCACCCTGGACGCTCTGCCCCCGCCCCTGGTGTCCTGTTCATGCCACCCTTTGGAGCAGAGAAAGGGATGTGGAAGGGACTCGGTGCAAAACGGGTGGGGGCCCCAGAACGACATACTAGAAAATTCGGGGCCCGTCCTGGTGGTGTTTGTCCAAAAAGTTGAGGAAAGACTAGACTTGAGAACTTGGAGAGTTTCTGGAAGGTTTTGGAGCCTGTGGTCTGTGTGGCCAGGCCTCCCTGGGAGACCCAGGGTCCAGGAGAAGATAGCGTTAGGGTTTTGAGCTGGGGTGCAGAGGAGAAGAGGAAATGGTTCATTTGGCAGGGTTGTCCAGGAGCCAAGACTAAAGTGAAGACAGCTGGAAGACTTTCCACAACAGAGGAGCTGAAATATCTAGGGAAAAGTTAGTGGGAAGAGGAGAACATCAGGCATTATTAGCAACCAGAATGTTAGAGCTAGAAGGGACCTCAGAGGAGAAAGCTCAAGCCCAGAGAGGTTGAGTGACTTGCCCTAAGCGGCACAGCTGGGTGGAGGCACTCCTAGATCAGCGCTCTGCGTTTCATGGTGGCCCTTTTTAGATGGCAGGGACTGTTCGGTTTTAACTTACCTCTTTCCTATAATATGCTGCCTCATCCACAGAGGTTTATCTCGAGGATACTTTGGATGATGGTGACAGGATAGAAGAGTACAAGTGACTTTTAAGGCTGTGAATAAGGGCCCCATGGTCTGAGTACAAAGGGAAGGTAGTCACCTTTATTTGTACTGGGTGAGCCGGAGCTTTTGGGAGGGAATAAAGAAATGCCAAAGGGGTAGATGGCCATGTCTTTAAAAAATTATAACCTGGTAAACTGGTTGTGAATGTTTACCTAACATAGTTTCAGCATTCCTGGTGGGTTCTTAATGTGTCTGATTTTTCTTGTCTTTTCTTATCAGCGTATAAGGGAATGGAGGGGGGAATGTCTTGGCCTCAATACAAAAAAAATATTTACTTCCTATAAAATGCACAGCCAGAAAGCCAGTAGCTCAGCCGCCCGAAACTGTGAAGGTCATGGGGTTATTCTCTGTATAAGTCCATCTATATAGCTTTCACAAGAAAAATCTCCATGACCTCTAACCCTGGCCAGCTGTCTTGAGAAGGTGTGTTATTTGTCACTAGTGGAACAGGGAAAGCATTTATGCAAAATTTTCCACCTTCTCTCCAATTTTCATGGAGTGTTAGGGTTTGCCCTCTTTTGGCCAGGAACACTGAAATCTGCCCTCAGCCATGGCCCTGTCCCTCATGGGGCAACCTCGGTCTCTTCATCACCTGTTTGGAAGGAAAGTTCTTGACTGGTCTGAGTAACAGCTACTCATGCTCTCATGATCCCATCCTACAACGAACTGTGTCCAGCTTCTGTGGCATGCTCTCCTTGTGCAAATGTGTGTCCGTATCTTCTCGTTCTGGATTTCTCCCTGGCCAACGTTGGTGACTCATCTTCCCTGGCCTGGGAGCTAAAAGGGCTGAGTGGCAGGAGAGCCAGTCAGGGGAGGGGGCCTGAGGTACAGCCTGGTGCATCCCGTATTGGAACTGATCCTTTTCATGCCATTTGAGGATGGAACACCTGTCCAGGTGCCTTCCTTCCAGGGACTTAGGAAGCCGTTACCTTGTACGTCTCCGTTCCCAGGACTACTGAGTGACGGTCATCCCTGTCACGGTCCACTCAAGAAGTCTTGAGCTGAGGGTCAGGAACGCCTACACCCAACCAGCACTTTGGTGCATCGATTCTTGGAGAATGATCTGGTTAATAAAAGCCTAAATCTACCTGTGGATAGGCAAGGTGGCCAACAAGTCAGATCGTACCCCAGACTGAGGCCACAGGGGTTAAGGTCCTCACCTCTGGTTACTGTGACACTGAAAAGCGATGGGATTCTGGGGGGTTGCTTGTGCAATGCCCTGGGGCAGTACCCTGCTAGGAACCCTTGGGCCGCCAGGCAGTTAACCCTACTTTTGCCTTCCCTGGAAGAATGTTGCAGAACCAATCGGGCTCTAGAAAGCGCCAGTGGAATGGTTGAATTGGCTGTGGGCTCTGACTAGCGCTCCCCCCTCCCGCCCAGTTCCGCTTGTTCTGACAGTTTGGGGATAAAAGAGATCTCAGGGGAAATTTACACCAATAGGTCCAAACAGTGTTGCTCTACCCAGGTCTTCAGCAAAGTGTTTTTAACCCGCAGGCTTAGAATCTGAGAGTGACTTTCCTCTGCTGCATGTTCTTGAACTGACCCCTTTGCTTTAGAATTCTGTTTCCCCAACGTCTTCAGAGTTTCCCAACCTTTTTCTAACAAGCTGTGCTCACGTTGTGCGGGAAAGCTCGTATGGGGTTGGCATGGTGGACGTGCATGGAGAACTTGCCGATAAGCTTGTGCTGACTCAGGCCAGGAGGAAGCAGCTGCAGCCCAGGAGGAACCCCTCCTCCTTAGGTTCACACCCAGGTTGCCAAGGGTGGGCGGAGGAGGCGGGGCTGGCGCGCAAGGCTTTGCCCGCTGTTTGGTTTTTAATCCGTATTTAGTAAAACAAAAACAAAAACAGCCGCCTGTGTTAAAATTAGAGCTGAAGGTGTAATTCCAGTACATTCTAACAACGTTTTGCAATGGCCAGGGGGAAACTGAAATTTATATACTTTTTATTTATACTTATACTTTTTATTTATATAAAACTAAAATTTATATACTTATATACTAAAATTTACATACTTTGCAAGTATAGGGTTTTTTTACATTGAATCCGTTAGTCAATCCATTGACCCTCTTTAAAGCCTTCTTAACCCAGTTCAGTTACCACTTTCCTTTCCAGAACAAATGCGTGGGTATAAGAACAGATAATAGAAAGCAAATTTGTTCCTAAAATTTTCACTCGTTTAACTTGGTTAGAAAGCGGTAAGACAAATACCCTTTAAAGTGAATATTTAGATAACTACCTTCGAGCTTTAAGTTATTGTTTTGTCTCTGAATTTGTGTTTCTCCAGTTGGTCATCAATAAGCGATTCTTGCATCCAAGGAGAGTGGTCTATTTCTTTTGAAAAATGGGATCAAACCCAATATGTCTTCATCCTATCTCATTTTTCTTTATATATTTGATTAATCGAAATCAGAAGTTGAAAATGAGCTATTTATGGACCGAACCAGTGATCCTGGCTCTTGTAAGAAGAGGAGCAACATTTTGCCTTTCTCTTCTCCTTGGCTACCACCATCACCCGGCAGCCCCTAACACGCCACCATGTTCCTTCACCATTGCCGTAGTGAGGGGAGAGGTGGCTGGGAACGAATCCAGATCCTGTGTTCTGTGATTCTTAGATTAGACGTTCTGATCCTGGTTTCATCACTGACTTCTTCAGTTAGCCCATGGCAACTGTCAACTCAGCATGTAAATTTTCCGTGGTGATCAGAATGATAAAAATTGCTTGGCTTTAGTGAAGTAATAGCGTTGGATGGATTTTTGGCAAATCTTAAAATGTTTAAGGTGTTTTATTAGATTCATTTTTCCCCTGATTATAGAAGGGATATTATTTTTGAAAATATAAGAAGGGACAAAGTAGGAACAGAGAAATTGCCTGAAATTCTATCACCTGGATATTGTGAGAGTTTTAAGCATAAATCTTCAGTCTTTTTGTGTGAGTGCTTATACATAATATTTTTTCCTCACAAATTTGGTCTCTATGTACAATTTTATCTTTTCTATTTTTTATATTAACATATATTATAAGTCTTTCCCATGCCATTTAAATCTTTTTCCAAATAACGGTTTTAGTGATGATATAACATTTTATCACATGGATGTGGTACAACTGACTTAACCAGACACTTGTTACTGGTCATTTAGGTTATTTTCTCACCCTCTTCCCCTCATAATGTTGCATGGAACATTTTAGTAATTAACTTTCATGGATTTTTAATTATTTCCTTCAGATAAATATGTGTATGTGACATTAGAACCAAAAATGCTAAGAACATTTACAAAGGTTGGGTCAATTTAGACTAATAGAAATATTTCTATTGTATTTTTTAATTCTTTCCTAACAGTAGGAAAAAAAAAGACATTTTCTAATCAAATTTCTTAAATTACTTATAAGGTTGGACATTTTGCAATATTTGTGGGCCACTTTTACATTTCTTTCATAAATTTTCTATTCATGCTCTTTGCTCATTTCTCTCTGGAATATTTGACCTTGTTATTGATTTTTAAGAACTCTTTATATATTAAGGTTGTAACTCTTTGCTGTCATGCTTTGTGTAAAATGTTTTCCCAGTTTTTAAAACTTTTGGTATTATTTTTTTCACTTACACAAAAAATATAGTTTTTATGAAGTCAATTTAACCTCATTAACATGATTGTTTTTGCTTTTTATTCATAAATAGGCTGTTTTCACTGTAGATAAGACAAATAGTCATATGAAAGGTTTAAAAGTACTAAATTGCTGGGAGTTTTTTAAAGAAAGATACACTGGAATATAACAATCTATTGTAAATTTAATGCAGGTTTGTGTCTGTCTTCACCATTGAATCCCGGTGTCTGGCATAATGCCCAGCATACAATAAACACCAATCAATATTTATGGGATGAATTAATTTCTTTTCATTGGGTTAAAGCAGTATTTACCAAAGTATGTTCCTTAGAACACATGCCTGCAAGATACTCCACAAAAAAGGGTTCCCTACTCAGATAAGTTTGGGAAATGCTGCACACAGTGTGCTCTTTTCTTTGTGCCCCGTGTGTATTAGCATTCCGAAGGCCCCAAGAAATCCCGACAGAAAGACCTATGAACTTAGTGGTCAGACCACTGCTTCCTTGTTTGTTTGTTTGATTGAACGTTGGACCTTTTGTCCCCTAACTTTACACACTTAATTGTCCCTGAAACCAAGGTCATGCTGGACCACACCCGACTTAATCCTGAGCTGTAACCATGTGGAGAGGGAGGAAGGAAGACATGATGTGCCAGTCCCTGTTGGAGTGATGTCTGTCACCGTCTGTCTGATCTCGTTGCTGTTTCTTTCTCTCCTCCCTCTGCCAGGGTCCTAGCCTATTCATCTAACCCAATGATGGCCGTGGACATCGAGTGCAGATACAGCTGCATGGCCCCTTCCTTGCGCAGAGAGAGGTGCGCCTTCCAGATCTCCCCAAAGCCCAGCAAACCTCTGAGGCCTTGTATTCAGCTGAGCAGCAAGAATGAAGCCAGTGGAATGGTGGCCCCCGCCGTCCAGGAGAAAAAGGTGAAGAAGCGAGTATCCTTCGCAGACACCCAGGGCCTGGCCCTGACAATGGTCAAAGTGTTCTCAGAATTCGATGACCCGTTAGATATTCCGTTTAACATCACTGAACTCCTAGACAACATCGTGAATTTGACGACAGCAGAGAGCGAGAGCTTTGTTCTGGATTTTTCACAGCCCTCGGCCGATTACTTAGACTTTAGAAATCGGCTTCAGACCGACCACGTGTGCCTTGAAAACTGCGTCCTGAAGGACAGGGCCATCGCAGGCACTGTGAAGGTGCAGAACCTCGCCTTTGAGAAGACGGTGAAAATCAGGATGACATTTGACACTTGGAAGAGCTTCACAGACTTTCCCTGCCAGTATGTGAAGGACACTTATGCCGGTTCAGACAGGGACACGTTCTCCTTTGACATTAGCTTACCCGAGAAAATCCAGTCCTATGAAAGAATGGAGTTCGCCGTGTGCTATGAGTGCAGTGGACAGACATACTGGGACAGCAACAAAGGCAAAAACTATCGGATCATCCGGGCTGAACTGAAATCCACTCAGGGAACAGCTGAGCTACCGAATGGTCCAGATTTTGGAATATCCTTTGACCAGTTCGGAAGCCCTCGGTGTTCCTATGGTCTGTTTCCAGAGTGGCCTAGTTATTTAGGATACGAAAAGCTAGGGCCCTACTATTAGTGACTGCACATGACAGAGCCTGGCTGAGTGGGTGCAGACAAGCCTAAAAGCAGTCGCCGTGGGATGGAGATGGAAGCCAAGAGAAAAGTTGAACTGCCATTAGGCACAGCTTTTGAAAAGAAAGGATCCTATTCACTTTTTTCGTAAACCAGCAAAACCAGCCAGGTTTAGATCACAGAACCGGTTTCACACTCAGAGTGGATGTGGTGTGCTGGCTGTTTGGCACCCGTGGCTGTCACGAGGGGCTGAGCAGGATGTGCGGGATAGGGTCTGGACAGGAACCAGGCCTGCAGGCGGTGCTGGCAAAGCTGGAGGATGATGTCTTAACAGGGCAACCCGGAGCGTGCCAGGCGGCCCGGAGGAGCCACTCCTCTCCCCTCGGATGCGGAAAGTCAGTCACCTCAAAGTCACTCCGTCCCCAGCCACCTCCCACTGGATCCTCGCCGTGCATCTTCGGGTGTTCTCCACCCGGCCAGGCCCTTCCTGCCTCATGCTGCTGTTCCACACCTACACGTCCATCACACTTTATCTCTGTGCTTTATTTTGCATCGTTTGCTTCCACAGTTCATCTGATGTTCAGGAAAAGATAGTAATGGCAAATGAGCCTGGGACTGAGACAGGCATTTCCGCTTTCTGACCCCACGTGTATGTTCCAGCACAAACACACGCCACTTATCAACCGTAACTGGCTCCTGTGTGGTGTTACAGATTGCAGGCTCATGACAACGCGGGACAGCCACGAAGGGAACACTTCTGGCTTCTCCTCTTGGCTTTTTGGGGAGCTTTCTAAGTACTCCTACTCTGAGTCACCAGACGGCTCAATTACAAGATTTGTGTTAACTTGCTCCGCGGGTTTGCGGCATCTCGTTCTTCACAAAAGGAATTTAGAATTGCCTTTCCTGGAGAGTCGTCTGTGACGCTGTGTGCAGGACATTTTGATTTGCAGTTCCAGTATATCCTCAAAGACTCCAGAAGATGTTTTCTTTTATCTTGACTGTGATTTTCAATATCCAGGACACTTTACGAGGCACCCTGGGAGTTTGAACTTGGGTGTTCTTATTTATGGTGTGTGAGTATGTCGGGCTAGGGGAGAAAAACCTCACCAAGTTCTCATAGTTTATTTTCCGTGTTTGCCAACTCTGAAATATCAGAGATTAATTGTTCTCAACCATATTGGACTAAAGAATTAAAAGTCTGTTGGTTCATACTGTTGTGAGGCTCCTGGAACTGTGATTTTTCTTGGGCAAGATTGGTTGTACTTGGGGGTGTTTAAAAAATATTTTTCCATGTGTATTTGTAGAAAGGTTGGGTTTTTTCTGTGTTGTTTTGTTTTTGGAGCTCAAACAACCGTCTCATTTTCCTTCTGCCCGGTCTTACTAAAGTGAGGTTTTCCTAAGGGAGGCAGGAGGAGAAATGCACAGCTGCCTGGATTTGGGGCACAGCTCCTGGACTCAGCAAGCAGTTTCACTTGCATTTTCCAGATCAGTTAAAAAATCAGTGTCGGGCAGGTATGAAGTGTCTTGGCTCCTAGAGTTTTGTGGTGGGTTTTCTTTTTTCCTTTTTTGAACTTAAAAGTGTTTTGACTTTGTAAATGCTCTTAAGTGGTGTTCAATGTAATTCTTGTTCCTAAAATTGGCTGTCACTCGTCTGCAACCTAGTGCTTTATTTTTTATGCCTCTCCCAGGTGGATGGCACTCGGGGATTACATGATGATATCATTTACGGGAAAATCACATTTTTACCTGAAATTGGGCAGAACTGTGTTTTATCTGAGCATATCTTACCCATCAGGTACACAACCAATACTTTCATTGTTACAAATCTGGTTTATTAATAGTGGAAATCTAAGTGGAATGGAAGCAAAACTGATTTTATACAGGTCATGAATTTATTTTCTTTTAAGAAGGCCCCTCCCTCCTCCTGAAGTTCAGAAAAGGTGTAAGGTGCACTGTCATTTGCATGTTACTGGACTGAAGGTAACCAGATCATTCTATGTTCATAAGAGAAAAGCCTTGAGTGACTCCTGTTGGTTTTTCAGTAATAGTGATCTTAAGACATTCCGTGTCAAAATTTGAAATATGGTGATTCAGTGATAAGTGTCTCTTTTAAAACACCATACACCCTCCCTGCTACCCTTCTTCACTCCAGCTCACCCCAGCTTTTTTGCTGGGGGCACTGGTTGCCAGCCCCCCACCAGTGCACCTGGGCTGCTTACCCACCCCCAAACCCCACCCCAAGAAAGCCCTCACCTGCTTGCAAAGACCCTTCATGACTGAAGAATCTGCTTGCCCAGCTTCCCCGTCGGCATTGTCGTTCAGTGACGTGGCAGCATCTGAAGAATACTGTCTTCTCTTTACCCATCAGTTTTTCTCCTTTGGGCCCAGCTCTGTCCCAGGATATCAACAGATGACCTCAGGAACCGCTTCAATGGGACCTCTCCTTATTTCATAGCTCCCCGCACCACAGAGAGTGACAGCTTTCTTAGTTGGAGACTTCACTGCAGCCTGACTTGTAGGTTGGACCCTCAGACAGCTCTTGGCTATGATGACAAACGGCCCCCCCATCCCAATGTCCTTCCCAAATTGCCCCAGAAAGACCAGCCTCCTGCCACTGGTGCCGTTGTCCAGGAATGGGGAAGCAGCTCCATTTTTGTTTCATATTTATTCCCCCAAATGCCCTGGGGGGCATTTGCAAATTAGGTGCAATAAATAGGCTTGAACATATAAAGATATATAATAAATAAGCTTTTAAGGTTTCTTGGAAGATATGGAACATTTGAGTGGGTTTTTTTTTTTAAGTATTCTTGTAGGGGAGCTGGTGAGAAATAATGGAGTTACATAGTTCTCCAGAAATTGACAATTTTAGAGTCACGGTAGAATTTATTTTATCTCTTAAGATTTAATTTTAATGGTGGCAAAGCATTACTCTTTCAATATGTTTTTTTAAAGGTGTAAATTTCAAACTGCTAAAAGAATGCTGTGGTTTTGATCTTTGCATATAAGTTGCTTTTTAAAAACAAGCATAACTTGTAGTCACCTGGACGTTAAATGGGTTGTATCTGTATATGTTTATAAACCAAAAAAGTGTGTGTTCGCTCACTTTTTAGATGGGCCCGTTTTCTGGGTCTTCTCTCTCAAAGGACAGTGAATGAAAACCTTGGTCGTCTTCCCTTTGTTTCCTCTTTTACAATTCCTCTACCGGATGTGGTTTGCCCGAGTAGACCTCAAGGCTCTGGGTCAAGACTCTTGGGGGGTCCCGTCTCCTGTCTCTCCTGATATCACTGAAATGGGGGACAAGGAGTTACACGTGTAATGGGATCGTCCGAAGACGATTTGGCAGCTTATCTTCAATTCCTGAAGTGGGACACCTCTGGGACTGGGAGGGATAAGCTGTCGTTAACTGTTAACTAACGGCAGCTTTCCTTCTTGAGGTTGTAAGACATCACAGCCCAAGTTGTAAAGCTGTGAACGTTTTGATGGTTTTGTTTATCAGTTCCTAGAATCTGCGAGGACGCCAAGAATGCGGCTGTGATGACGTAGTTTCCCTTTTATGAATGTAGAACCGAAACGTCGTCCTCATTCGATGTCTAAAAGTGCCTTGTCAAGAAATTTCTGCGTTTTAAAAAATAAATATTTTTGTACACAAGGGGAAATGCACTTTAAAAAAATCACAAGAATGGATGTATTTTGTGTGGTATAAGAGTGGTTTGTATCTCAAACGCAAAAATGTAATAAAGGTAGAGAAGGCAAAACTGAAACTGTCCAGTTTTAAACTGACTCTATTCTTAGAGCCAGAGGCTGGGGGAGAAATATTTTCGATCGATGTTTCCACATACAGAAGGGAGGTTTCCGGAGGACTCGATCCCCATCCATGGCTGAGCTGAAAAGCTGTGAGGCGCAGAGGAGGGCAGCTGATTGCTTTGTAAGCTTCAAGCAGTGAAGGCTGGTCCTAGCTGGGGAGATAAATGCCAGGGAGGAAGCACAGGGCCCCAGGTTGTTCCGAATCCAGTTTTAAGGATCTGAAGGGACGTCACTTCCTACCCCCTCACTTGCTCTTGGAGCGTATTTTTGGTTTCGTGTACTCCAAAGTGGGGAAACTGTCAGTGGCTAGCATGGCTTTTAACTGCTGGATCAGACAAACTGTGTAACCAGCAAAACGAACCAGCTTTTGGTGGGATCCCTGTCCCCCCTGGGTCTTGGACAATTCCCTTAAGTAAAATTGCCAGAGATGTTTTATTTCGAAGTTCAGAAGATGGGATGGAGGGAGAGGTCACCGCTGGCAGATGTTTCCTGTAAGTCAGTCTCAGCCACTCTGGAAAAGGCAAGGCGCTGTTCTGCAGTGGCCAGGTGGAGCGAATGACTTAGCACCTAGCCAACGATGCCAAAGTGAGCTACATCTGTAACCGCCTTTCTCGAGAGTGTCAAACCTTACCCCCAATTTACCTTCGCAGAAATGGGAAGAGTTAAAAAACATGACGTTGGTTTTATGAATGTCTATTTGAGATTCAGTGTGGTTTTCATAATCATTAAGTCATTCTTACTTGGGAGACAGACATTGCAGAAATATTTGTAGTAAAAAGAAAAAAAAACTTTTCTAGAGCAATGTACACGGAATAGCAAATATCCAGCTCTCTAGATAATTCGGGCGAACGTTTACTGCTCATCTGCCCCGTGCAGGGCCGTGCTTGGTGCTGCTTCTCCCCAACCACGAGAAGAGACATTTACATCTTAGGTGAAAAACAGTGTGTTGTGCTGTCTAGTGGGATTAGGAACCAGGAAGCCTGGGTGTGGTCTTGACCTTGCTGTCCCCTGTCAACTGCCCTCCTGAAGGGGCTCTGAGTGTTTTCAGCTGGAACAAGGTAACCAGCGGCTCTAAAAGGACCCTGAGTACTTTTGAGACTTGCCCAACACGTTCACTTTTAAAATGCTTCTCAATTTGTAAGAAGTACACATACACCATTTGCATTCTTCATGAGAATCACAGGAATAAATAGCATTCCCATGTCTTGGACTTCATAAAATCATCAGCATTCAAGCTGGAATGGGTATCAGAGAGTCCTTTTGATGGGTGAGTTTCCTAAAGTCACTTAGCCAGTCAGTGACAAGGCTGGAAGGACCACGCGGGTCTTTTTTCTTTTTCCAAGAACTGTTCCCCCAAAATTGGAGTCAATTTCACAGAACCGAGACTAAAATGGTGATTCTGAAAAGAAGTCCCTTTGCTAAAGATGCAGTCCCCAGGGGAGGAGTGGACACGCGCATCTTTGTGCCCGAAAGGCACGTCCCTCCCAAAGGCCTCCTCAGCACATACAAGGACCACAGACCATGGGGAGGCATAAAGTGAACATGAGATGATTTGAGTATCCGAGAGCCCGTTGGGCAGCAGGATGTGAAACCACCACAGGGCCTGCGGCTACAGCGGCATTCCAGGAGCCAGGCGGGGTTTGTGGCCTCAGCATCGCCTCTCACCAGAACAGAAGCGCTGGTGTAGCACAGGAAGGCTCTGACCCTCATTCCTCACCCTTTGCCATCACTCACCCTTGGAGAGGGATAAAGAGGAATCTCAACAGAGGTCTGTATCCACTTGGGATTCTCCAGCAGGTGACGTGTTTAGTTGGTGTCCTTTGTGCTGCAAGCACAAACGCACCTCCCTGGCATCAGGCCCTGTGCTGGACTTGAATTTGGCAAAGGTAGGGTGGGGATACATAACACTCTTTTCTTGGAGGCCAAAGACATTAGTAATGATCCAAGATCCTGGCCCTCTCCCCGAACGGCAAGATCAGGAGGCTGGATCAGGGGTCGGCACCTTCTTCCTGTAAAGGGCCAGATAGTAGATATTCTAGGCTTTGTGGACCACGTGAGTTCTCTGTCACATATTCTTCTTTAAAAAAGAAACCTATAGGGGCCAGCCTGGTGGTGCAGCAGTTAAGTGTGCATGTTCTGCTTCGGCAGCCCAGGGTTCCCCGGTTCGGATCCCGGGTGAGAACATGGCACCACTTGGCAAGCCATGCTGTAGTAGGGGTCCCACATATAAAGTAGAGGAAGATGGGCATGGATGTTAGCTCAGTGCCAGTCTTCCTCAGCAAAAAGAGGAGGATTGGCAGCAGTTAGCTCAGGGCTAATCTTCCTCAAAAAAAAAAAAACCTCTAAAAATGTAACCATTCTTATCTGTGGGCCATACGAAAACAGGCCAAGGGCTGGACTTGACTTACTGGTGTGGTTTGCTGATGCTGGTTGAGGAGTCATATAGGAAAAGTGAGACTTCAGAGCGGACTTGCAGACCCTCAGCTGAAGCCTGGAGTCAACTTTTCAGTTGTTTGGTTGGTTTGTTTAAAGAACATATAATTTATGGTCCAAACTGGGACTCTTTTGAGAAGGAACGGGGGTGCTATGAATTACCCTGGGGCACTCGGGGTAATCTAGAAGCAGCCTGAGCAAGCCCCACTGCGTGAGCCCCATTAGCATTCACCTCCTCCGGGCCTTTGGGATCTTCTGAGGCCTTTGGGGAGCTCAGAGAGCCCAGGCCACGCTTGGGCCAGCATCAGTTCTGGCTGGACAGTGCATTTTTTTTGGATGGGTTATAGCAGAGTGGTGATTTTGTCTGTGGTTTAGATGTGTTTTTGTTGGTTAGGTTTCCTGTTTCCTAATTGTAGTGCTGATGGCCAAAAGCCCTCTGGAAACCTCACTCAGCTCACTCTTCAGGGCAGAGAATTTAAGAGGAAAGAGGTTATTAATGGTTTGGGCTCATGTCCTACTACCTCCCTCTCGCCCCCGCCCCCGTCCCCAGCAAAGAGGGCATGGCAAAGCTCCCCCAGGAAGGCGTTTGTTGGGGACAGAGACACAGGCTGAATCTAGCAGTGTTCCAAGGCCCAGGCCCCAGAATCAACGCTGATAGTGTTCCTGGGACTTTTGCCAACTACAGGGACTCAGCTCATCTTTCTCTGGCCCAGCAAGTTCTCCCTTCCTGATGGCCATCTTTGCGGTGCTGACACACACACTCTTCTTTTAAGTTTTGTCACCTCCTCCTGCTGAGATTTACCGTTACCCAGGGCTGGAGGAGGGTCTGGAATGCTGAGATGACCCTCTGTTAGTGCTGTGGGGACTCAGAGAGGTTTTTAGGAAGCCCCAAATATATCCAAGGGGAACTCTCCACCACCAAAGGGGGTTAAGCTTTCCAGGGTTCACCTCTCTTTCAGAGAAAGTGGGAATGCCGCCCATCACAACCTGCATTGCTGGAGCTGGTGAGACAGAAAAATCACGCCCTACCTCCACCGGGCTCACTCTTAGGGCCACTTAATTGATGGCCCTTTGGTGGACATCTTGGTTCTATTTGAACATGGAATTAGCCAGCCGACATTTCACTGATCTTATTATCCTACTATTTTATTAAAAATTATGTTATTATTAATTACTCACCATCAATCAGTTATCTATTGAAACAAACACTGAAATATCCCCCCAATATTTTCAGAAATTCCTTTTGTACACTGCTTTGCACATTCACTGAGGCAATAGCATTGGTTAATTTGAATTCTCCAGTCTCCAGCCGCTTTTCTCATCAACTGATCAATCACCTCGCCCCCTTGAAGCCTCATGTCTTATGTTACTCATGGGTTAATATTACACACGCACACACAGACTTTGAAAAGAAAAATTCTTTCCTCTGCAAAAATCCTTCTCGCATTGGTTCATTTTTCTGCTTTGAAATGGGGAGTTTGTGTTCCAGAGCTTCTCCAGGGGAGGAGTTCTCTGTCCTGGCCAGGGCTAAGGGCTGCACTCAATGAGCCACACTCTCCCACCAGAGGTTGGAGGAGGAGAGAAAGAGAGACACCAGGCACCAGTTCTTCTACCCCCACACAGCTCAGCTCACTGCTTATCTGCTGGCCTCTCTGCTATCTCCCCAGACAGGGAATGCGCAGATCCTGGGGGTCTAACTGCAACTGCAGCCCTGCAGGACGGTGAACTCAGACAGGAGCAGCTGGTGGTTTTCAAACGTTTTATGAAGGATTGGAATCTGTTCTTAAACCAAATCTTACCTGAACCCAATTTGCAAAACTGATAGAAAAGGAGCTGCCCAAGATGGAAATTGCAGGACATAGGGAACCACGCCTACTTCCCCACTCCGTGGTCTCCGGGGGCACTTCCTAAGAGCCCCGGGCTCCAGAAATAGGGGTGAGAACCTTTTCCCTAGAACGCAGCAGAAGAACGCTGCTCCTGCTTCCCATGCTGGTAAAAATGTTCAAGGATATCCTGTAAAACGAAACAAAGGCAAGCTAACAAACAAAGCCACTATGGGAGGAAACACGATTGAACCCCACATTATGCAAAGGACTTAGGTTCTGTCATCAAGGATAATTATCATCTTCCACAAAAAATCATCGGCTTGTTCACACAGAACCACATTTGAGTTGCCTATTATCCTACATATGTGTCTTACATTTACACACAAAAATTAAACTGCTTGACAAGGCATCTTCTATTCTGTGCTAACAATAATACGTGAAACAAAATTACTGAGTGTGCCTATGGGCAAGGTTATAATTGGGGCCAAGTACTCTGGGGAATATGGAAAGAAAAAGACATATCATTTTCACCAAGCTATTTACATTCTCTCCAATGGTTATTTTAGTCTTTTCTTCTCCCAAATTGTACATTTTTTTTACTCCATTTACTTGCATCAAATTAAGCCCAGACAAAGAGCCCTAATGTTTCTCTTTTTAAAAATTAAACTTATTTAGAGATAATTGTAGATACACATGCC